GCTGCTCACTGTGTGGGTTTACTTTCTGTGTACCCCACAATGTCCGTGCAGAGGCAGTGTCTTTTCACATCTGTGGGTGGAGCTTGGGCATGGGACGTTCCCAGATAAAAACAAACGCACTGAGGTGTTCTCGGGGTGATGTATAATAATTTGGATTTTGCTTTGAGATGTGGAAGGAATGTTGGGACAGAGAACACACAAAACACCCCAGAGTCTGGGAGAGCAGAGCTCCGTAATAACGGCAAAGGCCAGGCAACAGTGGCCACCTGAATGGAAGCCATCTGGTGTGGCCTGAGAGCCCTGGAAGGCCGAGGGAGGATATTCTGTGGTTCACTTTACTCCCTTGGGTGGAGAAGGGAGGTCAGAGCAGGCCCTGAGGGCCTTTCCCCTCTAGCCTCTTCAAAGTTCAGTTCTGGATCCCTGTTTTCAGGGAAGGAAGATGGGTCCGAAGCCTTTGGAGTGACTCACCCACAGTGCTTTGGCCCAACATGCAGGATTTCTGTTTAGTGTTCTTTTTTGGTCCTTAACAAGGTTAAATCTGTTATATTGATTTGTATTTCTTTCAGGCGAGTCGTTTCTGGGGCTAGTTCTCTGTAAGAGATTTGCTTTCTAGCTGGGTGTGGTAGCACACCCCTTTAATCCCAGCACTCAGGAGGCAGAGGGAGGTGGATCTCTGTGAGTTCAAGGCCACCTGGTCTACACAGTGAGTTCCAGGACAGTCAGGGCTACAGAGTCAGACCCTTCTCATCTTCATGACAGACAAGGTCCTGAAAGGAGTGAGGAAGTCGGGCGGTGGTGACACACGCCTTTAATCCCGGCACTCGAGAGGCAGAGCCAGGTGGATCTCTGTGAGTTCGAGGCCAGCCTGGGCTACAGAGTGAGTTCCCAGGAAAGGCACAAAGCTACACAGAGAAACTCTGTCTCGAAAAACCAAAAAAAGAAGAGAGAGAGAGAGAGAGAGAGAGAGAGAGAGAGAGAGAGAGAGAGAGAGAGAGAGAGAGAGGAGCAGTGGGTAGAAAGGCCAGGTCAGCCACGTGTACCCCCAAGCATCATAGGAGCCCAGCTTCTTCCTCTATGTGGCCAGTGAACCCCCTGGTGGGTACTCACACCAGCTTCTTCCTCTGTGTGGCCAGTGAACTTCTCTAGTGTGAACCCCCTGATGTGAACCTCCTGGTGGGTACTCATGCCAGCTTCTACCCCAGAAAGAAACAGAAGCCAAGGGGCCCTGGAGGCTGGAGGGGAATGAGGCCAGGAGTAGGTGTTTTTAGCTTTCCTTCCTATCTGGGGGTGATGGTTCTAGGCATAGGAAGATACTGCCACAGCACAGGCCTCCCTCCCACAGGCAAGAAGCCCAGGCCACTTGTAACCACAGGAAATCCAGGCTCTTCTATAGAACAGGGTAGCAGGACTCGGGAAGGAGGCGTCTGTCCAAAGAACAGGGACAGCAGTGGTCACAGGGTCTGCAGACACTTCACCTCCCATGTAGAGCCAAAGGCAGGGGGCAGAGCCATGGTGTCTTGGGTGGGGAAGTTGGAGGGTGCTGGCAGGATGCTGGCTGGACAAAGATCCCATTGTGACAGCCGGTTCCCTGGAGGAACGGAGCAGAGCAGGTTCAGTTTTCCTGTCACACTCAAGTTTGGGGATAAGCTGAGCTCAGGATTCTGTGGAGCAGAAAGGTGTAAAACAAAGTGTATCCAGACTGAGCCAGTCGGGCTGGGTTGTGAGACCACGTGGTCAACACCTCTAGGAAGTGAGAGTGGGGATCAGTCAGCCCTGCTCGGGGTTGACCACTGTGTCTCCTCGGCGTTGTATTCAGCATTTCTTGGGACTTGCTTCCTGGCCACCGAAGAGTGAACAACTTCATGATACTGTGATTTTGTGCTTCTCTAGTATTAAAACCACTAGAGACATGAAGAAACATCTCTTTACTCTGCTGTATATCGGGTGTGGGTGTAGGTTCACATGGGTCCATGGAATCAAGACACAGAGGCACCCCAAGGATGTTCTAGCCTTTCCCAGCTGCAGGGAGGATCCATCTCTATGACTGGTCCACTCCAGTTTAGGAAAGGGTCATTTTATTGTTCTCCAATATACACCTTTTAGCAAGTTAATCTCTGTACCCCAACACTCCTCACCTAAGCTCCCCAAAGGGACAATGCCAAATGCAAATTTTCAGTTGAGAAATACCTGCGGTGTTCCGGGTTCTTCCTCAACCAAATTTGCATTTGGCTCTGCACCTTCAGAAACTCTCAGACAAAATTCACATAGAGGATACCTGGGAAACAAAGACAGCAATCACAAAAGGCTGGGTGCTAACACTCTGGAGCCAAACCAGCTGTAGCTCTGCGGGAATTCTCCTAACATGCCATGGAGCTGGAGAGATGGCTCAGTGGTTAAGAGCACTTGCTCTTGCAGAGGACCCGGGTTTGATTCCCAGTATCCACATGGCAGCTCACACACATCCACAACCTCAGTTCCAGGAAATCTGACGCCTTCTTCTGACCTCTTTGAGTACCAGCACTACGTACACGCGGTACACAGAGCAAAACACTCACACACAGAAAGGGGGTGACTCAAAGGTAAGCTGTATCCTGGAACCCCACCCTGGCTTTGATGACAATGAATGGTAGCTGCATCCTTGGAGCTCCTGGCACAGAGTCTACTCTCCAGCAATTGCCACTGCGTACATAACCTTGGGGAGGGTCCTTGTGGATCCTGTATAGTTAAGGAGTTTCCTCAACCTTGTAAATTTTGTTTACTTTTGGACTCTTTTGAGCCTCTCTCCTGGAGGGAGTGTCTTAATTCAGAGGAACTAGCTACAGTTCAAACACTTGCACCACCTAAAAGTGAGTTTCTCAAGTGAGTCCCCACCTGTCGCTTCCCGGGATCTGGCTAAGGACAGGGTGGTCATGGTAACCCTCCCCAGCCATCTCACGGAGGTAAGGAGCACTACTTTAGGGATCGCTGCTTTCACTCTTCCTGCACAGGAGTGGAAGCTGGGATGGCTGAAGTCTGCTTTCCTCCGTCTCTGTCCTGTGTGCCGCTCTCACAGCCCTCCCACTCTCTCCAGTACTTGAGGTAGGAACTACTGTGGATCTGGCTGTGGTCTGGGACAGCATCCTTCCTGTGCCTGCAGGACTTCTGGGGTAGAGCAGGGCAGAACCAAAGCTCCAGACCCTGACTTCAGCCACTCGGAACACTGCAGATGTTCACATTGCCTCCGGGTGGATTCACACCCCAACACTTCACATAGAAAACAGCACAAAGGCTCTCTCCTTTGAGAAACCACAAAACCAAGTTCTTCTCCACTTTGCTCTGGTCTGGCTCCAAGTCAGATTAGGGTGGTGGTGATTGACAGTAGTGGTGATAGCAATGTGATGATGATGATGGTGATAGTGATGATGATGATGGTGATGATGATCGCAAATAATTCTTTTACACACTACAGGATGTACATGGTTAACCATTTGCATCCAGGCAGATAGGCGTTGCTTTTAAATAGGAAGTAGCGACTCGGTGACTTTCTTCTGACAATCCTAGCGTCTCGTCTCTTAATGACCACTGCTGGTCGCATCTGGTGACAGAATGGTCCTCGCACTGCTAAGGCTGGAGCTTGGATAACCACTGAGGCGGGAGTAGCTGGCCAATCCACATTGAAGATCAGCATTTCCTGGGGTGAGCATGCAGCCCTTCCCAATTTTTTTCTCAGACATGTCTTAGCTTCTCAGACATTCTCACCTGTGGCGGGGATGTCTGGAAGGGATAGTTTCCTGTGGGATGTGGGCATGCCAACCAAGCTTCCACATAATAAGTTCTTACCATTTTGTTTTGTACCAGTTCTTGTGGTTTTAGGAGACAGGAGCATGTTTTCCAGAAAGCAGCTCTTTCTGCAGGCCTCACCGGGAGGCTCACCGGGAGGCTCACCGGGAGGCTTGCTTCTCTCCACCTCACACCAGAGGTCTGGAGATGGTTTGTCACTACTTCTTTCTTTGGGAAATATATGAGAAACTTCAGTCTAGCAAGGAAGTGTGTGTGTGTGTGTGTGTGTGTGTGTGTGTGTGTGTGTGTGTGTGTATGTGTCTGTGTGGTGTGTGTGTTTGTGTGTATGTCTGTGTGTGCCTATGTGTGCTTGTCTGTGTCTGTGTCTCTGAGTGTGTATCTGTGTGTGTATATCTGTGTGTATGTGTCTGTTTGTATATGTCTGTATCTGTGTGTCTCTGTGTATGTGTATCTGCTTGTGTGTGTGTGTGTGTGTGTGTGTGTGTGTGTGTGTGTGTGTGTTAGTAGGAATTGAATCTGGGGTATTGTGCATGCTAGACAAGCACTCCACCACTGAGCTTTACTCCTGGATACATTTTTACTCTTGATTCTGAGACAAGGTCTCACTAGGGTGTGTAACTTGATTTCAAATTCACATCACGACCCAGGCATTGAACTTGCCGTTCTCCTGCCTCACCCTCCTGAGTACATAGGATCACAGCCCTGTGCCACCAAGCTCAGGCTACTGTTTCTGTAGTGCCAGGAGTGAAGCACGGGCCCCACAAATGCCAGGCAGCGGCGCTACCCTAGCTGCACCCAGTCCTAGCGACGGAACGCTTTCCTTAAGGCTTTTTTTTTTAAATCTATTTATTTATTATGTATACAGTGTTCTGTCTGCAGGCCAGAAGAGGGCACCAGATCTCATTACAGGTGGCTGTGAGCCACCATATGGTTGCTGGGAATTGGACTCAGGACCTCTGAAAGAGCAGCCAGTGCTCTTAACCTCTGAGCCATCTCTCCAGTCCTCCTTAAGAGTTATTATTTATTTTTCATTATGTGTACATGTGTGTGTCTGGGTGGGGATATGAACACATTCGTGTAAGTGTCCAAGGAGGTCAAAAGTATCAGATCCCACTGAAGTTGGAGTTACACATGGTCGGGAGCTAACAAACGTGCGTGCTGGGAACAGACTCTAGTCTTTTGCAAGAGCGGTCCTCGCTCTTAATAACAGAGTCATCCTCTGGACCCCTAAAAATACAATTCTTTATTTAACTCAGTACACAGAGAAACTTTGAGAAGCCAAGTACTAAGTTAAGACACAGAGCTGCAAGAGATTTAGGCAATGCACAGCTGTGGGCAGGACGTTGTGGAGACCAGCACCCTAAATACGGAACAGACGCAAAATCTGCATCACAGCTACTCTTGAAATGCTTAAAGATTTAATTCCTGCAATAAATAAGGAAATATTAGCTGTGCATATAGAATCAGACTGTGTTCCCAGAATTCAGTAGATTAAAAAAAGGATTATGGGTACAACTCCCCCATATGTCAAATAGTGAGACCTGGCCTCTAAAAACAAAGTGAACAACAACAACAACAACAAAATACAGTATAAAAGTGAGCTGCCAAACCCGAAAGCAAATCACTGGAAAATACCTTCTGGGTTCTTCCTACCCACCAGCTCAAAAGCAGAAGGAAGCTGGGTAGCACTTCAGCTGCACTGAGGTCGACAGAGGGGAGAAGCCGGCATGCCTGTGGTTCCTGTGAACTTAAAACGTACTAAACCTAGCAGTAGAGAACACTTGATGGAAGAAGCTTTAACTAAACTTATTGTTGAAGGTCTTATGGGAACTGCCTGGCAAAGTGACCCAGATGTTGGGTGGCAGGCAATGGGGGAGTTCAGCACTGCTCATAGTCCAGGTGGGCTGTCTGCTAGGACACTGGCATGCTGTTTGTTCCCGGAGTGACCTCAGTGCCCAGCACATGTCTGGAACTTGATTTACAGACTGCACACAGCTGTATATACACAGCTGCACACACACACAGCTGCACACACACACAGCTGCACACACACAGCTGTACACACAGCTGCACACACACAGCTGCACACACACACACAGCTGCACACACACACACAGCTGCTCACACACACACAGCTGCACACACACAGCTGCACACACACACACAGCTGCTCACACACACACAGCTGCAATACACAGCTGCACACACACAGCTGCACACACACACACACACACACACACACACACACACACATACACGCTCACCTTGTCCAAACATACTCCTCTGTGCACATCTGCATACGCACTCATTCATACACACCTAAGACAGTATATACCACGCATGCATATATGTGTATATGCACACATAAACTCAGACATGCACACACCCATACATACCATCAGAAATGCTCATTCAGAGACAACACATGTAGGCCTATAGACACATGCGTATAGATACGTGAATGTATACACAACTATCCATGCCTACATACCTACACACGGACATCAATGCATCTACACATACGCACATACACACATACATACACACGTAAACACATGCACACACATACACATCTGGGCACATGCATAAAATCTCTGTGTGTGTGTGTGTGTGTGTGTGTGTGTGTGTGTGTGTGTGTGTGTATGTGTGTGTGGGGGGGGGGCTGCCTGTCTCTGTCCCATCTCAAAGTCAGTTGCAGTCACTCTCCCAGGCTTACCATTGACTGTCTGGCACCAGCGAAGGCACTAACTGTCATGATGATGAGATGCATGTCACCTTCAGAAACAATTTCCTTGGCACAGTGTACACAGTGAAAATGTCTCTAGGAAATCATATCATGGTACATAAAAGATTAGTTTTACACTGTGTTGAAAGCATTACTAGTATTAAATTTTCCCTAAAATAATGGTTTCTTTTTCGATGTGATTAAAAGAATTACCTCTGAAATGTTAGAACCCAGAGGTAGAAGCAGAGTTGGCCCAGACCATGAGCATGGGTTCCATCCTGGCACCCTAGCTCTGTTCCTTTCTTTGGAAAGGGGGAAGTGGTAGTGTGCCTATGCGGTTTCAAACCGTAGACGTGAAAGCCATGAAAGAGCATAGCTTATTCTTTGGGTGCTGGGAGGAAAGAGAGAAGAAAGAGGGAGGGAAAAGAGCGGGGAGAGCAGAAATGAGAGAGGGAGAGCAGAGAGAGGGAGACAGTGCCTCTGGAAGAGGAGAAAAACCATGCAAAGCCGTGCTGAGCAGGAGCTGGTTTCTAAAGCCAGTGAAGGGAGAGAGCACAGCTTGGGGAGTGCTTGGTTTTCACAGTTTCGAGAGACAGGATCCACTTGGATGTGATGTAACAGGGGTCACCGTGTCACTGTGACTTGTGACACCACCCCTTCCAAACCAGGTAGAGCAGTGCTGCAGAGACCACAAGCCACTGCAGTCCGGCGTGGCGTGGCGTGGTGTGGTGTGGCGTGGCGTGGCATGGCCCGGGAACAGGCTCCTGGGAGCCCCTGGGCCTGCCTTTTCCACGTCCTCTGCATTTTCCGAAGTCCCCTGCAGAGATCACGGGCTGAAAAAGTCCCAGAGGCAGGAGGTTTGTCAGTGGTGACGGGACAGGGACCCAGATCCATGATGTCTCACCCTCAGCACCCCGAGGAGCTCCCATAATCTTTTGGGGACCTCAACACAGCCAAATCAAGTTTTATGGGTTTGATACAGAAAAGAATTTCAGGCATAGCTGGTCTGAAACAGATATGGAGATTTTTATTAAAGTTATCTTAAAATAGACTTCAGGCACAGGGGTTAGGCACTTGGGGAAAGAAAGTTAAGATATACTGAGGGCAAGGGTGGGGGCTTCTCTATGAATCATGGAGAGTAAGACACCAAGTGTGGGTCTTACTTAAGTGTCTCAGCATTAGTCACATGTATCATTTTGGTGACCCTCAAAGTATACCTCAAAAGCCTGCTAGGACACATTCCCCCCCTTCTTTTGATATGTGAGATTACAGGGGTGACTGGAGATTCCTTGGATGGAGTTCCCATGTGATGAAGTTAGGCCGGGAACCACTAGGGTGCACCAAGAGCTGAGTACATGTCCTTCCCACGTGAGTGAGGTTTCTGGTGAGATTCCTAGAAAACTGGAGCTTTGCAGCTTGAAAGGGAGAAAGCACACATCCAGAGGACCTAGGGGCCTCACCTGGCAGCAGGTTTCCCAGTGACCCACGGCCAGCAGCAGGCACTTGGCATAGGAATCAGTCCTTTCCCCAGAGCAGGGCCAAAGCCCCCAGGCACAGCTGACTAGGAATGAGTGTGGTTACAGAGTAATGAAAAGCACTGTGTGTATACATGCTCTTCTCAAGATCCCTGGTACATCCACTCCTCACCAGATAGTAGATGCCTGTGAAACTCTCTCCTGCCTCCAAGAGACCCCGTTCAGATCACCCATGAACTCCAGGCACATAGGCAGTAAGCAGCCTAGACTTGTGGGTGTACCCTGATGGCAAGCATCTGCGGATAGGACTCCTGGGTCTCACGGCACCTGTAGCTACATCTCATGCTCACCCACCTCCTGCAGCCAAGGGCTCCTGGCCCAAGAGGTCCAATCCATCCTGCGTTCAACTCCCCACCTCAAGCCGGCAGTGGTCACCGTGTCCCAGGGCGCCTGTGCTCTTGTTGGACCACCTGACCTTCTTCCTGGCACTCACGTCATCTCTACTCCCAAGCAGAGTCTGACTTTAGGGCAGAGTAGAAGTCCCTCTTTCAAGTCACAATCTCCCACACCACGATGGGTGTCCTTTCTAGCTGACCCTCCACTTCTGAAGCTAAACAGCACCTCACTGTGCTTGTTCAATCACCAAGGGTCCCTAGACCCCTCTCCCAACCCCTAATCACTGTGTAGAACTGGCTAGAGCCAGGTGCAGAGACTGGCACTGACCTCATTCTTAGCCTGGTGGTTTCTGTGGTTTTTTTTGCTAAAAGTTAAGCAAATGTTCATTTTGCTGAGCTCTCTCTGAGTCTCACCATTACCACCGAGTTGGCAGTTCACATGGCTGAGCTTCCTGGCTTCCAGTCCTGCAGCCAGCGATCTGACACCAACCTCAGCTGCAGGGCAGGTGGGCACAGTGCCACCTTCTCTTCTGGGCCTCAAAGGGGGGCAATCTGTGACTGATCCCTCCAGTTGTGGTCAGACCTCAGTGCCTGGGGCAGGACCCAGATTCCTATTTTTACAACAGCTGCCAGAGAGGGCACTTGCCAGCCTCTTCAAGGAACCCACTTGGCTTGTGGTTCCTCAACTGCCTTCAACATGAGCAGCAATAGATGCTTCCCTCCCCAACCTCCATCTCTTCCCTTGCCTCAGGCGAGAGAGTCTTGAGGGCCAAGTACTTTCAACTCTATCTGCCCCATGTGGCTACTCATCGGAACTGAATCATGTCTGCACAGTCCCTTTGGCCAGCGATTAGGGAGCAGACATCTCTGGAGCGCTGAGCACGGTGCTGTCGGTGTGTCGGACCGTTGGCTCCGAAGGCTGAGTGACTGAAGTGGAGGGAGACAGTCACAGCAGCTAGACAGCTGTGCCTGGTGGGGGCAGCTCAGCAGGCTTGGTGAACCTCCTATCAAGTAAATGCCGACGTTATGCTCTTTTGGAACTTGGATTTTTCATCTGAGCTGTTGACTATTTAAATAAATGCAAGTGCGGGGGCCGGGCAGGAGAGACGGCTCGGTTGTTAAGAGCACTTGCTGATCTTGAGGACCTGGGTCATCCACTTTATTATCTTCTAAAACTCTTGACATTTTCCAACACAGTGCACTTACCTCCTCTCTTTGTCCTTATTCATCGTGTGAACGAGAAGAAACTCTCAAGTGAAGATTCTGATGGCCACTATGCCAGTCAAGGTCTGTCCCAGTGTGCCTGGAAACAGGTTCCACATGGATTGTCACCATACCCAAACCGCTGCCCGGTTAGTGGCCCGTCCATCTCTCTGTACTGGCACCCAGACCATAGTTCCTTCTCATGATTACTTTTAAATTTCAGATTTAATCACAGATTTGCAAAGTCTGTCACACTTCCCTTATCTGCGGTCTGTGACCATGACTATGAAGGCTTCGGACCACCTGGTGGCTGTCTGTCAGCAAATGGTGATGCTAGACCAGGTGTCTGAAATCCCTTCATGATGTTCTTTTGTTTGGTGGGGGGGGGAGGGGATTTGAGACAGGGTTTCTCTGAGTAACAGCCCTGGCTGTCCTAAAACTCTGTAGACCAGGCTGGCCTCGAACTCACAGAGATCCGCCTCCTGAGCACTCGGACTAAAGATACTACCACTGCCCAGGCCTTCATGACGTTCTTGGATTCGTACTGACTCCATACCTCAGTGGTGACATTCACTTTTTCTGTATCTACATTGTGAAGCTTTACCCTGTTCTTGCTTATGTGTGTGTGTGGAACATGTGCACATGTGTGTTCACATGTGTGGGCACATGTGTGTGCAGGCCCAGGTTGACGACATGAATCTTCTTCAGTCGCTTTTCTATCTTACTCTTTTTTTTTTTTTTTTTTTCCTGAGACAGGGTTTCTCTGTGTAGTTTTGGAGCTTGTCCTGGATCTCGCTCTGTAGACCAGACTGGCCTCGAACTCATAGAGATCCACCTGCCTCTGCCTCCCGAGTGCTGGGATTAAAGGCGTGCACCACCACTGCCCGGCTCTGTCTTAATCTTTGAGGCAGGGTTTCTCAACCAAACCTGGAGTATGGTTAGTCTCACTAACCAAGCTTGCTGTGAGAATCCCATCTCTACCTTAGGAGGCTGAAATTACAGGTAAGCTGCATGCCTACCTAGTGTTTACATGGGTTCCGGGATCCAAATTCTTCTTCTCTTGCGTCATGGCAAACCCTTTACTAAGTTTTGAAGGTTCTGACAATAGCCCCACCTTCCTTCTCCTCATGGAGTAGGCAGCCTAACATTGACATTCTTGTCATCTGGAAATGACTTTAGAGTGGGCGCGGGGGCGGGGGGGGGGGGGGGACGGACAGGAGTGAGAAACTGCTTTCTCTCGTGTTTTGAAGACATAATGAACTTCACGGAGACACACTTGGTGGTGAGGAAGAACCTTCAGGTGCTAACATTTTGATGTTGTACTGACACACACTGAAGGGTCCTACTGCGTCCCACATGAGACCCCAGTGGCCTGGAAAGGGGGAAAGTCCAAAAAAAGGCAGACAGAGGATGACAGAAAGAGTGACACTTTACTCAAAGATGATGGCAGGCAAGGTGGTGTCTTCATATCCATCCCCTCACAGGACCCCGGAAGTTTTTCTCCAAAGGATAATTTGGGGCAGGTTTCAGAGACTCTCTTAATATCAATTGTTCTTTAGAATATTTCTATACATACCTGTTTGAGAACTGCTGACTTAGGAACATTAAACACCAAAGATGACCATATTATGCATTGAAAATCAGTTGACAAACATAGGTCTTCTATGTGTCAGGCCAAAATAAGACCCAGTGAGTGGGCATATGTGAAGGAGAACAGTGTGAGCCTGAGGACAAGGCAAAGTGGTGTCTTGCTGTGGGTAGCTTGACTATGGTTTGTTGGTTCACAGAAAAACAGGCTGTAGGCCCTATCCTTCCAGAAGCTCTCCTCTTGGTAGACTGACTGTCTAGATGGTTCTAAATTCTTTAAGGGACAGACAGAAACATTTAACCAGGAATGAATTCACCAGCAGGTGCCGGGTGTACTGGCACAAGCCTTTAATTCCAGCACTCAAGAGGCAGAGGCAGGTGGATCTCTGAGTTTGAGGGTAGCCTGGTCTACAGAGAGAATTCCAGGACAGCCAGGGCTACACAGAGAAACCCTATCTCAACCTCTCCCCCATAATTCACCGATGAGGGATAGAGAGATGGCTCAGTGGTTAAGAGCACTGGCTGCTCTTCCAGAGGACCTGGGTTCAATTCTCAGCATGAGCTACCCACATGGCAGCTCATGACTGTCTGTAATTAAAGTTTCAGGAGATCTGACACCTTCACACAGACATACAGGTAGGCAGAACACCAATGTACATAAAACAAAAATAAATAAATAATTTTTAAAAAATCAAACAATCCCCAAAAGAAAAAGAAAAAAGAAAAGAATTTACCAAGGTTTATCATCGCGCACAAATTCTCCTAACAGAAAATGCTGACACATTGAGATGATGAGGCAGATTATGCTCAGGACTCTACGTGCTGTGGTGGCCCAGATGCCAATCTGTGTCCAGTGTGATTTCCTAGCAACGATATGCATCACTCTTGTGGTGACAGTCGTGGTTTGACAGGCTGATTCATTTCAAGGTACTGTGAGTGTCTGGCATTCAAGTAAACGTGACAGTTATTGTCTTACTGAGAGCACTGATTGCCAACCCCAGCACTGCTGAGATCATTATTATTCTGAGTTTCACAGGGTTAGCCCAATACGCTCACAGCATTCTCCCGAGACAGGATCTTTTTTTTTTTTTTTTTTTTTTTTTTTTGGTTTTTCGAGACAGGGTTTCTCTGTGTAGCTTTGCGCCTTTCCTGGAACTCACTTGGTAGCCCAGGCTGGCCTCGAACTCACAGCGATCCGCCTGGCTCTGCCTCCCGAGTGCTGGGATTAAAGGCGTGCGCCACCACCGCCCGGCAAGGATCTTTTACCATGGTAATCAAGGAAGGTAAATTAAGACACTGTCTCTTGAATATAATATACACTTGAACAATTGTCTGCCTCTGCTAGTGGTGCCCTCCAGCCTGGTCTGGAAACTATGCAGATCCTCCTGTCCATGAGGAACCACCATGGCTGACACCAGCCATCCCTTCAGTAGGAGCTGGCCTGGTTTTCTGTATGCCTTGTCTGAATTACATTGTTTGGGGCTATTGTGTTGCCTGGTACCTTCTTGACTCTCAGGCTCATGTTAGTTCTATGTCGTGAGTCAGTGCCCATCCTCAAGAGACTTTTAAAACTTCCACTGAACTGAATTTACTTAAATGCAGAAAATGTGACTTATCATAGTGCAGATAAATATTTTGCTTATGTGGGAAGTCTAGCTGGGCATTGATGTACAGTACGGTTGGCTGACCCTCATAATCTTTTTTTTTAAATTTATTTCATAATCTTTTTTTTTTAATTTATTTATTTATTATGTATACAGCATTCTGTCTGCACATATTCCTACAGGCCAGAAGAAGTCACCAGATCTCACTACATATGGTTGTGAGCCACCATGTGGTTGCTGGGAATTGAATTCAGGGCCTTTGGAAGAGCAACCAGTACTCTTAACCTCTGAGCCATCTCTCCAGGCCCGACCCTCATAATCTTTAATTACAGCATTTTCCCCACCAACACAATGAGCATGGGGAGAAATTACCATGTCCTGTCTCTACCCAAGCCCCTCTAGCTAAGGGACCATACTGACCACTCCCCTCTTCAGTCTTCCCAATGGGTGTACCATTCTCCCCTGTAGGACTGCCCCTCGGCAGCCTCTGCAGTATCCTGAACCTTTACACCTCCTTCTGAGGTTCCCACCACCTTCTGTAGCCCCCACTCTCCCCAAGTCTGTACGGATACCACCCTTCAGGGTCACCTCAGTCCTTCGGCCCGTGCACTTTCTGTAACTGGTCTCTGACCTCTATCACTGTTGGTGCAAGGCTGTTTACATAGAAGAACATTCAATAATTTTTTTTTTTTTTTTTTGGTTTTTCAAGACAGGGTTTCTCTGTGTAGCTTTGCGCCTTTCCTGGAACTCGCTTTGGAGACCAGGCTGGCCTCGAACTCACAGAGATCCGCCTGGCTCTGCCTCCCGAGTGCTGGGATTAAAGGCGTGCGCCACCACCGCCCGGCTAATAATTTTAAAATTAGCTTTACTGGGGCATAATTACACACAGTTATCGAAGAAGACAGTTCAGGGGTTTCGATAGACACGTGGCCACACATCAAGTAGTATTCCACTGAGTGTGGGCCCACTATGATTCACTCTGCTGCCCCTGGGCATTTAGGCTCTTCCCAGTTTGGAGCTATTAGAAGGACTTTCTCTAAAAACTCCAGTTAGTGTTTCTGCCTCCCACCTGGGTGAATGCTAGGAGCCAGTTACTGGTTCGTGCAGCCAGTGCACAGCCAGTGCATAGCCAGTGTACATCCAGTGCACAGCCAGCATACAGCCAGTGCACAGCCAGTGCACAGCCAGTGCATAGCCAGTGTACATCCAGTGCACAGCCAGCATACAGCCAGTGCACAGCCAGTGCATAGCCAGTGCAATCCAGTGCACAGCCAGTGTCACACGAGGTGAACACATTTTTGTCCACGTGCTTGACTTCACATTCCCACCACCCAGCCAGGACATCTGCAGCTGCTCCGTGTCATTGCTGACACCCTCACCTTCCACGGCCATCCTTGTGGGAATTAAGTGGCACCTCAGGGAGGCTGTGGCTTGGCTTCCCTAACAACATCTTTTGTACATATTCACCATCACGTATTTTGTTGTCTTCCAGGTACTGAGTAGCTGAGATTCCTTGTATGTTCTGGATGTGAATAGATACGGTTTTATAAACGCTATTTTCTGATTCAAATACATTTTTTTTCATTTTCTGAAGTGTTTTGCAAAGAGCAGTTTTTAATTCTTTTTTATTTCAAATATTTTTATTTATTTATTTATTATTATTATTATTGGTTTTTCCAGATAGCGTTTCTCTGTGTAGCTTTGCGCCTTCCCTGGAACTCACTCTGTAGTCCAGGCTGGCCTTGAACTTACAGAGATCCACCTGGCTCTGCCTCCTGAGTGCTGGGATTAAAGGCGTGTGCCGCCACCGCCACCGCCACCGCCACCACTACTGCCTGGCTGACGTTTTTAATTCTTATTAAGAATGATTTATTATTATTACTTTATAATACATGTCTTTCACAACTTATGTAAGAAAATTCTTCCATTCCTTGAGTCATGAAGATTTCTTGTGTTTTCCTCTAGATGTTCTCTGTCTCTGCTCTTGCATCTAGAGCTACAACCAATGTGAGCTCACTTTTCTTGTGGGAGGGGTGAAAGGGTGATCAGCTCTCTCACATAAGGCCCAGTACCAGCGCCATTAATTCAAGGTGTCTTTGCACTGCAGAGTCACCTCGGTACCTTGTTTAAAAATCGGCTGACTACTTAATGTAGGCATGGTTCGTTTCTGGGCTTTGTGTCTGTCCACGGATTCCTGTTCCTTCTCCTTCATGGACGTCACCTGCTCTGACACTGAAGTGGCCTAAGTCTCACAGGGTCTCATGAATCCTCCAACTTCATTCTCTCTTGAATTCATTGTAGAATCAGAATCAGTTAGCCACTTTCTCTATTTAGAAAACCTTCCAGAGTTTTGACTTAGTTTGTGTTGTAGATACACATCAGTTTGTGGAGCGTGTATCTGAATGAAGAGCCATTCAGCCTTGCTCTAGACATCCCTCTCCTAAGTCGACACACTTTATTTTCTCTCAGCTATTAGGATTTTCAGCATATAAATCTTGTTCATTAATGCTTTGTGAGTTTTTTGTTTTTGTTTTGTTTGTTTGTTTTTTTCAAGACAGGGTTTCTCTGTGTAGCTTTGCACCTTTCCTAGAACTCGCTTTGTAGCCCAGGCTGGCCTCGAACTCACAGAGATCTGCCTGGCTCTGCCTCCCAAGCGCTGGGATTAAAGGCGTGCGCCACCACCACCCATGAGTTTTTTTTTTAATCCCCTTCTCTCCCTCCCACTCTCTCCTCCTCCCTCCTGCTCTCATAATTTATCTTTTGATATTTTTTTTTTCAAGATAGTTTCACTGTGTATCCCAGACTGGCTTTGAACTCACCATCCTCCTGCCTCAGCCTTCTGAGTGCTGGGGTTACAGGCATGCACCACCGCACTGGGCTTCCAGCTTTCAGTTTTTAAGTCTTCTTGTTAGGGTAGAATCATAATGGCTTTATCCATGTGGACTGTGTCTACTCATGGTATTGATCACAGGAAGTTTCTGCCACATGCATTGGGCCAGGAGAGGGCATCACATCCCCTGGAACTGGAATCACACTGACTATGAGCACCTGATACGGGTGGTGCTGGGAATCAAACACAGGTCCTCCAGAAAGGCAGCGAGTGTTCTTAACCACCGAGTCACCTCTCCAGTCCTCAAATCATGAGTTTCTATCCATGTATATTGATATATTGTTCTGTGGGATTTTCGTGTATATTCTTAACTGGAATTTTGGGTGAAGACTCTTGTACAGTTCAAGAGCTGTGGATTTTTTTTTTTTTTTTGATATGACTTTTCTTAAGCCAAAAAGATCAGAAATTGGAAAGTCACAGTCTATGGCTAACCAAGTCTGGTCAGGCTCATTCATTTCTATGTTCTTTACGGCTGTTTCCAAGCCACCAACGCTGGCTTGAGATGCCGAGACAGAGCCACAGGGCCTGCAGAGCCCATAGTGTTTGCTCTCTGGCTCTTCAGAAAGCGTCCCATTAAGTGGGTATTTTCACATCAAATAATACACAGTGCAGTATGTTCTGGTGGGGTAGAATGTTCCAGAACAGGGGTGCCTGAACACACTTTACCTTCTCTCCTCCATAGCTTCCCCTCTGCTCTCCTAACATCTGTGCTAGCGAGTGTGTGGCTGAACCGCCCACTTCACTGTCGACACCAGGCCTGGATCTCCCCAACGACCATGACACACGAAGTGAGGATCTGCTTTGTTTTGGCAAAGAGTGGGAGCTTGGCTAAATGTGGTCGCTTGAAAAATGTGTTGTCACTAATTCCGTTTTCATTGTTTTCCAGGAGACAATGAATTCCACAGAGCTCTACTCCTCGACTGATGATTACTCTGACCCGACTTTCTATTCTGTGCCTACGGATGACTTGCAATGCTCCTTGGAAGAGGTCAGAGAGTTCACCAGGGTATTTATGCCAATCGCCTACTCCTTAATATGCGTCTTTGGCCTCCTGGGCAATATTATGGTGGTGATGACCTTTGCCTTCTACAAGAAGGCCAGGTCCATGACTGATGTCTACCTGCTGAACATGGCCATTACAGACATCCTTTTTGTCCTCACTCTGCCATTCTGGGCAGTCACTCATGCCACTGGCACTTGGGTTTTCAACAACTCACTGTGTAAACTCATGAAAGGCATCTACGCGGTCAACTTTAACTGCGGGATGCTGCTCCTGGCCTGTATCAGCATGGACCGGTACATTGCCATCGTTCAGGCAACCAAATCTTTCCGGGTACGATCCAGAACATTGGCACACAGTAAGATCATCTGTTTGGTGGTGTGGGTCATATCGGTCTTCATCTCAAGTCCCACATTTATCTTCAATGAGAAATACGAGTTGCTGGGCAGAGAGGTCTGCGAGCCCCAGTACAAGTTTGTCTTGGAGCCCATCACCTGGAAACTTCTGGGGCTGGGGCTCGAGCTGCTTTTCGGCTTCTTCATCCCTTTGCTGTTCATGGTGTTCTGCTACCTGTTCATTATCAAGACCTTGGTGCAGGCCCAAAATTCTAAAAGGCACAGAGCCATCCGTGTCGTGATTGCTGTGGTTCTCGTGTTCCTGGCTTGCCAGATCCCTCACAATGTCGTCCTCCTCCTGACTTCAGTAAACATGGGCAAAATGAACCGGACCTGCAGTGGTGAGATACGCCTCGCCTACACCAGGAACGTGGCCGAGATCCTGGCTTTCCTTCACTGCTGCCTCAACCCTGTGTTGTATGCATTTGTTGGACAGAAGTTCAGAAACTACTTCATGAAGATCATGAAGGATGTGTGGTGTGCTAAACGAAAGAACAAGGTGCCAGGTTTCCTCTGTGCCCGGATGTACTCAGAAAGCTACGTTTCCCGGCAGACTAGTGAGATTATGGACAATGACAACGCATCATCCTTTACCATGTAACATGAAGCCACATACCCCAAAAACCTTTGTGAAACTTGCTATCACATGTGAAAGAGAGAGAGAGAGAGAGAGAGAGAGAGAGAGAGAGAGAGAGAGAGAGAGAGAGAAAGCCATGCCCAAATAACTATGGAAATTAAATGAAGCTTTCCTGCAGGATCAGAACCAGTTGGCAGGTGGGCACCAATAGCCAAGCTCTCCCCCGTGTGGTTGACAAGAAACGTTAGTGGCTCTTGTGTCCTGGGGTTGGTGTTCCACGAAACAAGCTGTGGGGAATGCTGGATTAGAGTGATATGGTATGAATATGAACATATTCACAAACTGCGTGAAGGGGTTGCAGACCCAGTTAGAGCACAAAACAAGGAGACAGCTTGAGAAAGCTACAGAAGCCCTCCTGTGACTCACGGGACGCTAACAAGATGTTTACCATCCCTGATGGCAAGTGGCAAAGATCCTGTACAGCTTCCCTTTTATCACCTCAGCAAGCGCTAGGCGGCCGGGGGTGGGGTGGGGGGAGGGGTGACCAAGGGCAAGTATCCACAAACTGGAACCAAGCAGGACATGGGCATGTTACCATCATGGGGGCTTGCTTCCCTTTCAGGAAGTGGTTTCCTGTGGCTCCCTTCCCCCTCCGAGGTGGGTGGAGCCTGAGGAGGCAAGCTGGGATCCAGTTCCAGGCTAGGCTACCAGTTCAGCAGTTCAGCAGTCGCTAGCATAGTTTAACATTCATCCCATGGATGGTAAACTTGGCTTGTCTGTAGTTGAAAGTGCTTTTCTTCCAGTTCTGAAATGGAGCTGAGGATTCTGGCCACCAAGAACTTCAAGTTAGGCCCTGAACAGGGGAAAGCGTGCTGGCCTCTGAGACCAAGTGGATTTGTTGTGTGTTTAAATTGGGAATTGAACCTAAGGTCTCACTCACATAAGGCTCCGCCAGTGTGTCGCCACTGTGCTGTATTCCAAGACCTTTCCCTATCTTTTGTTTAGAGACGGGCCTAAGATGTCCATGCCAGTCTTGAACTTTGAAATCCTCCTACTTCAGCTCTACAAATAGCTAAGATTACAGACCTATGATTGGCTCTGAGACTGATCTTAAGGAAGCTTTACCCAAAGTCACAGTTAGCGGTAGAATCAGGTTTTGCTAAGTCTCGTCTGCCTCATTAGAAGTTCATGAGACTCTAGTCCATAAAGTCCAGCATATGCAGGTGGCAAATATGAACTGGGAACGCGGAAACACAAACCTCCTTACAGAAGTTGCTGATGAGTGTTAAAATACTGGTGTGTGTGCGCGTGTGTGTGTACTTGAGTGTGGAGGCCAGAGAACTACTTCCGGTGTGCTCCTCAGGCGTTCTTTTTTCTTGTTTAAGACAGTCTCTCAGAGCTCAATAAGTAGGCTTGACTGGCAGGTCACGGGAGCCACAGATCCACTTACCTCTGCGCCCCAGCACTAGGATTAAAAGCGTGCACCACCACGGTTTTATTTTTGTTGTTGTTGTTGTTGTTTTTGTCTTTTGGTTTTTTTTTTTTAACATAGGTTCTGGACATTGAACTCGTCTTTGTGCCCACAAGGCAAGTGCTTTACTGTTGAAGCATCTCCCCAGCCCAGCACTGGAACGCAACTCCTTAGCTTACTCTGATTGTTTCACATATTAAAACATAAACTTATTCACAAGCTTTAAGAACTCTGGGTCTTTTTGTTTGCTTTGTTTTAAGAACCATTAAGAAAGTGTGTGTGTGTGGGGGGGGGGGGTCGGGGCAGAATGTGCACCCGCTTTCATGGAGTTTAAACCTGGTTTAATTTCTGTTGCTGTGATAAAAGACTCAGCCTGACCGAAAGCAACTTTGGGAAGAACAGGTCTATTACAGTTTGCAGTTCTAGGGCACATCCCATTATCGTGCGGAAGTCAATGAAGGAAAATAACAGCCAGCGTCCAGAGCAGAGAACGAATGTGTGGATCCCTGTCCACTTACTGCTCCAACGTCCAGCTAGCTCTCCTACTTTTTTATACAGTTCACGGCCCCATCCATGAAATGCCGCCACCCACATTCCGGATGGGTCTTCACACCCAACTAACAAGACAAGCCCTCCTCTCTACACACACACACATACACACACACACACACACACACACACACACACACACACACACACACACACTCTCCAACGTCACCTAGACAACAAGTTACTAACACGCTTCCCAGATAATCCTAGGCTGCGTGAAGATTGCAGTTAAAATTAATGGGCACACGTGGTGTCCCTGGGGGCAATTTTAGTATTTCCTCAGTGGAAAACGCTTTGTTCCAAGGCTGAAATAACTTTGAAATCGTTTTTATTTTTAATTATGAATTATTTTGTTTCTCATTAGAGAATTAGAAAAGAAAGTGGACCATGCTTAGGTAACAGAGGCCCTTAAACCCTGTGCTGGCCTCGCAGGCATGGATCCCTCTGTCAGCTGCCCACAGCCTTCGGCCTGGGTTTTTAAACTTCACATCTAAGTTTGATGAAGGCAGAGGAACACAGAATGCATTGCTGAGGGCATGGGCGTCTTCTAGCCTGCAGAGGAAGACACAACAGGTAAAATGCAGAGCGTGCCGAGGTGGCCAGCCTGCAGGGGAGGGACGGAGAGCGGAGGATGCTGCTGGGTATTGGGTAGCTGAGGATCCAGAGCACAAACCAGGTCCTGGCCCTGCTCTTTCAACAACCAACTGACTCATCACCTTTATCCTTCTATCTACTCGACCCCTTCATGGCTAGAAACCAGGACCTAAAACAAAAATAAGTGAGCCGAGCACAGCGGCACCCGCCTGTGGTCCCAGCAACTGTGAGCCTGAGGCAGGAGGATCACCTGAGCCCAGTAGTTCAAAGTCAGCCTGGGCAACATAGTGAGACTATCTCAAAATATAACATAAAAAAAAAAAAATAGCTGGGTGGTGGTGGTGCACGCCTTTAATTCCAGCACTCCCGAGGCAGAGGCAGGTGGATCTCTGTGAGTTCGAGGCCAGCCTGGTCTACAGAGCGAGGACAGGCTCCAAAGCTACACAGAGAAACCCTGTCTCGAAACGCCCTCCCCCAAATAATAATCATAGTCATAATCATAATAAAATAAAACTGAAATACTCATTGCTCTTCTGCTGGGATCCTGTCCTTCAGCCTTCATGGGCTGTGATGAGGTCGAGGATACATTGGTGAGTGCCCCATGAAGGCTGCATAGACCCACTGCCATGGAGGGCTCAGCAGAACCATATCACCTAGGGATTGGTGCTGTGCTGTGGGGACCCTGTGCTTCGCAAACCAGCATCCTGACTCTCTCGTCTCCCTTCTCATGTCGCAGGGCTGGGTATCAAACCCCAGGCCGTGTGCTCACAGGGCACACGCTCTGCCGCCAGCTGCATCCCCAGCCTCTGACTCCCCTGGGAGGACTACCCACACTGAGAAGCTGCTGGGCTTCTTTAACATCACAGAATCAGTGTCTGACTGATTTCGAACTTGTTCTTCACGAGCCGAGCCGTCAGCGTCTCTCTCCGTAAAATCACACCGAGAGTTTCAGCCCTGCCTGCGGCGTGAGAATGTCTGTGCTTGGAGTCCGAGTTTCTCACTTCCAGTTTCTCATTCTCTCTGGGCTTGCTGCCCCCTTATCTCTCTCCATCTGCTGCTAAGGGGGCCCCTCCTCCATGCTCTGACAACCCTGGATGCTTTCACACCACAGGGACCAGGGTAGCTAACTAAGAGTGGATCCCTAGGGTTTTCCTGCAGACGAGGGCCAATGCCACCTCGCCCGTGGACTTCCAGCTCTCACCCTCTGCCAATGGCTGCAAGCAGGCAGCATGTACTCTTGGTTCTGGCATCTGTATTGCAGTGAGTGAGAAGTGGGGCAGCCATGGGACGGGGCACACTGCCTGATGGAGAGCAGCCAGCAGAGCACAGAGGATGGGCCACATTAGCAGCGGGTGGCAGGATATAAGGGGCACCAAGCCTGTGGGAGTGGCTGCTTGTGAAGAGAATGAGAAACTGGAATTGAGAAACTTGGGACTCCAGCACAGAAATTCTCATGCCATAGACATGTGCCCTGGTGAGCCTTCAGGCTGGGACAGAGAGCATCAGAGGCTTTGGACAGGGGCTTAGGTCCTGCCCTCCTGTCAGCTCATGGTCCTCTAGCTCAGCTCCCTAAACTCAAGTCACACAACCCTTGCAGTCCCTGGCAAGGCAGCGAGGGACTGCTGTGACCTTGCTCTACACACCATCGAATTCCCTCTCTCTCCTTTTTGGTGGAGACCTGCCTCCCTCCCATCTGCCCAAACACAAGTCAATCTAGAGTCACATCTAGTCCTTAGCAGTGGCTTCCTGACTCCTAGTGTGGAGGCTGGTCCTGTGGTACAGAACGTAACTCTACAGCAAAACAAATTTGGTAAAAGCAAGCCCCCTCTTTGTTCCCTAGTGGGGAAGAGCTTTCCAACCCCTTTAGGACCTAGTTCACCATTTATCATACAATCCAGCAACTCTCCTAAAATCCCAGAACTAAAGGGATGCGGAGACTCTCACTTCAGGACCTCCTGCATGCTGTACACAGTGTCTGTTTCTCCTAATGCTCTCTGACTTCACAGCCTCCTTTCAGCTGCCTATAGCCATGAGCCTAAAACTCCCTTAATAAAACCAAGTTCCTGAAAGGCAATTCACCTCAGTTTCCTTTTCTATGAACTTGTTCTGTTGTTCATAACACCTGGTTTGCAAAATGACTCAGACATGTGGTCACAGTCACACCGACAGCACGTGAAGTGGAGAAATAGCTTCCACAAAACTGCTGGGGCAGTGCTTTCCAAGAGGATGATGGGAAATGCTGCAGAGGTCCACTGAGACCTGGACCCAGAACCAGGAAGAGTTTGAAGATTTGAGCTGCTCTGTGAGGTCGACATGCTGCTGCCTCATCCATGCACATGAGTACACACTCCTCAAAATCCCTGGACCACAGGTGAAGTGGCCGGAGACCGTCAGGCTGAGCGTGTGCCTTATCACCTCCCATGCATGCGTCCCCACTCTGCCTCCAGACAGGGCCACCGTGCAACCCGAGGCCTGAGAATGTGTGTTCCCTCTTCCTGTTTTATCAAAGCGGGATTGCTAATCCAGGGCTACACTTGATCCCTTCTGCTGCATAGTCCATGCAGAAAACCAAAGCCCACACCTGCGGCTGTTCTGTACAGTCCAAGTAATGAGCTACCAGAGCCATGCATGCTTCCTGTTTTCAATGAGTGAATATATATATATGTGCTATGTATTACATATAATTGTTACATTTTATTACATATAATTGTTATATATATATATATATATATATATATATATATAGAGAGAGAGAGAGAGAGAGAGAGAGAGAGAGAGAGAGAGCAGAAAAGTAAAAGAATAAACAGCCAATTGGGAAAAGCAACAGATAGACAGAAAAACATCATCAAACTGGGTGCTAATAACACCCAGCAGAATTAACTAGAGACAGAAACAGAGAGAGAAAACGAAGGTGACATCATCAAATCAGAAACTTACAGGCGACCAGCAGGAATCCCGAGGAAGCTGAGGTGGCTGGCTGTTGTTCCCACGTCAGGGCTTTCTCTCCATGGATGAGCATCCTGCTTCTCGTTCCCTCTTCAGGCATTTTTGTACCGTGGTAAACCTTGCTGGAAACGGTCCCCCTTCTGGCTGTTCTCAAAGATTCAATGTTGTCAATGTCCTTAGCTGCTTGCCGGTGTTCCTTCTCCTGGACAGCCTGGCCCAGGACAGGAGGGCTTACAGGAAACAAGGAAGGGCCCCTTGATCCAAGAGTCCACTTTCAACAAGTTGTAATAGCATATGGCAGCTTACCAATATAATTTGCATTACAGCAGCAAGCTTGACCCTGTGGGAAAGCAACTGATGGTCTCTGACTGTCCTTGGTCATCCTGGGAACACAGAAAGTTTCACTCCCAGGTGTATAAGGTTCAGTTCCAGACAACACAGGTACACGATGTGATGCATATACTTGTGCTGTTTACCTTCCTGAAATCCAGGATACCAGAGAGATCCTATAGGGTCTACAATGGTACAGCTATCGACCCCTTCTTCCTCCTCCTCCTCTTCCTCCTCCTCCTCCTCCTCTCCTTCTCCTTTCCTCTCCCCCCATTACTTCATTATTTCAGTAGGAGGGACCTGGGGTTGGAAGCTTCCCGGTTGTGGAAATGGTACTGGGAACTCAGTCTGAGTGCTGCAGCCTGCAGGTGGAGAGAAAAAGAGTTGGATGTCTCAGAACCATGTTCCGTTCACTGGCCTGGGGCTATACAATTTCTAAATGGGGCTTCGATGTTTCCAGGGGGATGAAGTGCCCTTCTTGGACTTCTTTGTCTGGTGCCTCTTTCTGGAACCATACCTCACAGCAACTTCTGTGTGTTTACAATTTTATAATCTGCCACGAGAGGGCGATAAGTGCACATCCACAGAGGCGGCACTTGCCTCCTCAGACCTGCGGGTAATTAGAGCCTTCCCAGCCCTCTCAGAAGAAGAGCCCTGCACCAGACAGTGTGCCCACAGGGGATACAGCAGGCTGCATTTGCTTCTGGTTCCTTCTACAGCCTGGTCAGGCGACTGCTGGCCCTGAGAACACAGAGTCCATGCTTGATGGTCCTTACTGGGAGAAGCTGAGAACCATAAATCCACCAGAGACCTGCACAGGAGAAGGTGTTGAGATGATCAGAGTGTGGTTGGCTTGGTAGGAACCGAGGATGTTAACACTGGTTGTTCTTCGTGTAGGAGGCTTAGATGCCTCCTTTAAAATGCCTGCTCCATAGGTACTTTAGAGAGAGGCTTGTTTCTTGGTTTTTTGTTGAGACAGGGTCTCTTTAGCTGTGTAGCACAAACTAGCCTTGAACTTCCTGACTCAGCCTCTTGAGAACTGGAGCAGAGGCATTTGCCAAGCCCTGTAATAAATATTTTTACTTTTTTAAAAAAAACAAAAATGTACTCTTTGTGTGTGTGTGTGTGTGTGTGTGTGTGTGTGTGTGTGTGTGTGTGTGTGTGTGTGTAGCAGAGCACACATGCAAGGCCAGTCAGTTCTCTCTCTGCAGTCCTGGTTTTGAGGCAGGGTCTAGCTTGCTTCTGCTGCTGCTGTTCAGCTTGTGTGATTCTGGCTGATTCTCCTGTCTCCACCTTCCACCTTGGGAGACATGCGAGGATTTCAATGGCCACACCCAGATCATCAGGCTTGCTGCAAGCGCCTTCACTGCTGAGCCATCTCCCTGCTCTCTGTTCTCCCCCACACACACACACCCTCCCTGGGGATCTGATCATTTGGTTGTTTATTTGGTTTGGGTTTGCTTTTTTGAGACAGGGTTTCTCTGTGTAGCCCTGGTTGTCCTGGAATACACACTGTAGACCAGGCTGGCCTCAAACTCAGAGACCCGCCTGCCTCTACCTCGGGAGTGCTCGGGGTGCACCGCCACCACGGCCCGGCTTTGTGTTACTCTTTAAGTCCTGTCTTCGACAGGACTCAGAAGCAGAAGCTCTCAGTGAAGACAGCTTCTGACACTTGGCTATCTGCTCCTGGCATGTTCTTTGCTTTCCCTCATTCTCTTGGCCAAAAGTTTGGCAAATTCACAGCCTCAGTGTATTGTTTCTTCAGAACAATACATTGGCATTGGTGTTGCAGGACACCTGGACTAATAAGATACTGAATCTTGGGTGCCTTGGTTCTGGCTTCTTACCTTCTTGGTTTAAGGACTTTCTGACAACATATTGGTGGAAATCATTTGTTTAGAGGAATTGAAAAGCTTTTGGATTCTGCTAGCCTTTTGGGACCTCAACTGCCAAGACCAGTAGTATCTGTCAGTCCAGGGATACACTTCTCTCCTCTTTTTTTTTTTTTCCCAAACAATAACTAAGCCAAGAACACTCAGATTAGCATCTGTGAATAGACTTGTGCTTCCTCTCCCCAGTCAGTTCTCCTTGGTCTACAGCAGGAATGCCCCTTACTCAACAGCAGGCCCACTCTGCTGGAGGTCAAGACACCTTGCTTCACGGCTTCACGGGGAAACCTTGTTGCCTTGAGGTGTCCTGACAGGTCCTGACCTGGGTCCCTCCACCCTACCACCCCGGGACATGTGTGCTGTCAGCAGCCACACCTAGCTGGTCTCTTCAAACTTGTTCCATACCCAACTCAGCACTCCACTAGAACAGCTCTGCCCACCCCTCTGAGCTGTGTTGAAAAGATGAGCAGCTCTCATCCTCCAGGAGGAAGTCCAGGCTTCTGGCCTGGTGCCCATGACCTTGGCCAGTCACCCCCAAGGCACCCCAGTGTGAATCCACGCTTCAGTGCTCAGGTTCAGCAGTCCACACAGTGCCATGTGCTCCCCATGGCTATTGACATTTAAATTACTTAAATGCAATTCCAAACTTAGATTCACGGCTACCCAACCTCATTTCAAGTGCTTACTCATCTTAGGGCTTGTGACCTCTGTTGTAGATGGCACAGAGGTCATGCTCTACCAAATCCTCTGGTTCGGGATTTGCTGATTCAGGGATGGCTCCAGCAAGTTCCCAAAAGAGAAACATGGAAGGGTATAGGTAGCTTGTAAAACTTCCAGAGAGCAGGAAATCAGGCCTGGGGGCCTTGTGACTGTGAGGAATCAATGTCCCTTGAGGCTCAGCCTAAAGCACTCTGCCCTTTGTGAAGCACTCTGTGCCTCAGTGGGAGAACTGATGAGCAGACCCAGGAGGAAAATCTAGATAACTACTGTTGATGTGACCATGTACCTGGCTCCTTCCAGATTATCACCTATTGAAGTCCTGAGCCCCAGGACCTACTTTGTGTGACTGTATTTGGAGATGGGTTCTTCATGGAGGCCATGAAGATAATGCCATTTGGGGTGGCCCTAATGAGGCATAACCAGTGTCCTTATTAAAAGGAGGCTTGGGGGTCTGGGGAGATGACTGTGGGTAAGAGAACTTCCTAACAATAATAAGGACTGAGTTGGATCCCACACATACCAAGTTGGGTATTGGGGACACATCTGTAACCCCAGCTCTGCAGGGGAGCAGAGACAGGAGAAATACTGGGGCTTGCTAATCAAGCCTAGCAGAGCATGACATGAGACCCTGCCTCTTGGGAGGAAGCCGAGTGACAGAGGAGGCTGCTCTGTGCCCTCTTCTCCTTCCACACATGAATACAGGCACCCACACCTGCACATGCACACATGCAAATAAATATTTAAGTCACTTTAAAGGAAGTTTGGACACAGTGACAGCTATACAGAGAGGCTGTGTAGAGTTGTAAAGACAAGACACCATTTGGAAGCTAAAAAAAAAAAGGGACCTTGGAGGAACCAACCCTTCTGCTGTTAATGGTTTGAACCTGAAAAGTCCTTCACAGTTCCATGTTTTGTTTCCAGTTGGCAGTGCTATTTGGGGGGGCCTGGAAGTCTTTAAGAGGTGGGGCCTGCCTGGCTAAAGTATATTGTTGCTTGTTTTTGCTCCTTTGGGGAGCCCACCACCGAGCTCCCAAATAAATCACCCACAGAGGCTTATTATTGCTTATAAATGCCCAGCCTTAGCTCGGCTTGCTTCTAGCCAGCTTCTCTTAATTCAAATTACCCCATCTACCTTTCACCTCTGGGCCTTTTCCTGTCTTCTACAATTTTACTTTCACCAACATACCGTGGCTGGCTGTGTGGCTGTGTGGCTGTGTGGCTGGGTGGCCGGGTGGCCGGGTGGCCGGGTGGCCGGGTGGCTGGGTGGCTGGCCCCTTCTTTTCTCGATCCTTCATCTCTTGCTCCTCAAACTTCTTTCCCTCCCAGATTCTCCTTCTATTTATTCTCTCTGCCTGCCAGCCCCGCCTATCCTTTCTCCTGCCTTGCTATTGGCCATATGGATCTTTATTAGACCATCAGGTGCTTTAGACAGGCACAGTAACACAGCCTCACAGAGTTAAACAAATGCAACATCAAAGAATGCAGCACATCTTTCCATCATTATAAGAGCAAATGTTCCACAGCATAAACTAATGTATCACAACTTAATGTTCTACAACAAATGTAGGTCATGAAAGGCAGGTCATTGAAAGTGACACCTAGCCCTGGATCTGGCCTGTCTCGCTGTTTCCTGGTCTGCTGTGATGTGAGCCACCTCACTCCATGCTCTTGTCTCTAGAATAAGCCCCTCTGCTTTGCCTTCCCTGCCGTGATGGACTGAACCATGAGCTAATAATTTTTTCCTCCTCTGTTTTCTTTAGGTGTTCTGAACAGGTTGATGGAAAATGTGACTAGTACTCCTGCTAACACCTTGGTCATGGATGCCCAGCCCCCACAACTCTGAGAACAATGTCTAGTTAAGCCATCCATTGATGGGAGTTTGTTGTAGCAGCTCTAGGAAACTCAAACAGCTACCACAGATAGTCCTTATCCCCCAAGTAGGGCCCACTGGTATCCCCAACTGATTTAGTGTCCCCATATTCCTTTTCCTACCTATGACTTGACTTGTTTGGAAATTGTGCTAGCTTTCTGTTACTGTGACAAAATAACAGAAATCATTAAAAACAAGAAAGGTTCAGTTGTAGAGAATTCAGTCTATGACGGGTCCCATTGCTCTGAACTTATGGTAGCATAGCTCCCACAGTGGGCTCATGTGGCACAGAAAGCTCATGTGTGGTATTGTATTCCCCCAAATATTGTGCATGCTAATAAACTTATCTGGGGTCAGAGACGGAGCAGCCACAATATTAAACATAAAGGATAGGCAGTGGTAGCATACACCTTTAATCCTAGCATCCCAGAGGCAGAAATCCATGTGTTCAAGGATACAGACAGGCATGGTGACTTATCACACCTTTAATCCCAGAAAGCGAGCCTTTAATCCCAGGGAGTGGTGGTAGAAAGCAGAAAGGTATATAAGGCGTGAGGACCAGAAACTAGCAGCATTTGGCTGACTAGGCATTTGGCTGGTTAAGCATTTAGCTAGTTAAGTTTCAGGCTTCTAGCAGCAGTTTAGCTGAGAGCCATTCGGATATGAGGACACAGAGGCTTCCAGTCTGGGGAAACAAGACCAGCTGAGAAGTTGGCCAGGTGAGGTTAGCTGTGGCTTGTTCTGTCTCTCTGACCTTCCGGTGTTCACCCCAATACCTGGCCCCGGGTTTGATTTTATTAATAAGAACTTTTAAGATTCCTGCTACACTCATGGTTAGAACACGAGGGAAAGAAGAACTGAGTGTCATGACCCTTGTTCAGGGCATGCCTCCAACAACCTCCCCATGTTCTAAAGCTTCTATTTCCCCCATAGCTTTAAGACAAGGACTAAAGGCCTTTAGTATATCAGCCCTTGGGGAAATTCCAGATCCAAAGAACAGTAGAAACTTTTCCTGTGATTTTCTGGTTTCTACCCCTGCTCGACCTGGGCAGTTATCTGTTCATGGTGTTGCAGAGCCACTGGTAATAATTTACTATGAGGCAAGGCAGTTCAGGGAGGGGCCTCTACCCATTCCCCACTGTGGAGAGCCCAGAGTGTAGCTCAGCACCTTCAGGTGTTCACTGTATAGAGCTGGCTACAAATCAGACTTGCTAGCCAGAGAGCACCCTCACCTCCTGAGACCTCAGGCAAAGTACAGTGGGCAGGTTCCCCCCGGCACAGGCTATTTCCCATACCAGGTAGCTGTGCTTGGGGACCTGGCCAGCTGGAAGACAAGATATCCACTCCCAAGTCATGGCACCCCTGCTGGGCACATCCAAATCCAAGTGTGCTCGCTGAGTTTTGTAAACTGTCAGGCTGTGTTGGATCCCATGACCAGGCTTTTAGAGTCTACTAGGACCTGGGAAAAATCCAGAAGTTGTTTTTCAAAAAGAGAAAAGGGAGAGAGTAGGGGCCATGGGAGGAACCTACCTGATACACAATACAGATTTGTATGAAAATGTCCTTTTTGAAATAGCATCATGTACAATGGGCATGCACCACTAATTTGATTTTATTTTTTAAAGAAAACAGTTACTTGCTGAAGGGAACATGGTGTCTTCTACAGCCTCAGGGGTTGATTGTGGCCTCTGGGACCAGGGCCCATGGAGATGCTTGTGGCACCTTTTTCCTGTAAGTGCCAGGGCCCCTTCCAGTAAGTTCTATGCTTGCCTGTCCTGCATCCCTGACTGGAGCCCTTCTAGAACCTCCCCCTGAGATGGGGATGCCTGGCCCTGTGGCCCAGGGCTCTGCCGTCTACATAGCTGACCTTCCTCAGCCTCTAAGCACAGAGTCCCTCAGGGATTGAACCTCACCGTCTCAAGGAAGCATGGCAATTGTCCTGTCTACCTCCCGGGAATCTCTGTTTGGTCATCCTCCTCCTGGCATACAGCAGAATTTGGGATGAATACATCCCTCCCGATTCAGCGTCCGTGTTTCTGTGGAGGTGTGAGCGGTGGAGACCCCTTATCTTAACTGCTGCCAGCAGCACCACCTGGCACCTTTGGTGTCTAATGACACCTGTGGGCAGACAAAGAATTAAAGGTGAATGGAGAGATTTAAAATTGGACAAGGACCTAAGTCACACCGGACTGATCTGACGTTAATATGCTAGAGAAAACTCCCTTGCCTTCTGCTCCTGTCTCACTCCGCACAGAGTCCCTGAGAAATCTAATGCCACGTGGCGAGAAAATGTGTGTGCTTGAGCAGGTGTCTCAGGCTAAGCTGCAGCCCTGAGGTTTGTGAGGATGACATCCTGCCCTAGGTACTTTGGGAGGTGGGCTGTGACATGCAGTTGCGTGACTTTCTCAGAGCTCTGGGGCCCAGGGGACAAGGAAAGGTATGGGCAGCACAGGGCCACAGCTGACTCCACTCCTTGATCTGTTGGTGGAATGTTGGGATGTGGCTGCTGTCTGTCGTCTTCCCCTTGGACAGCTGATGAGCACACAGCAAATATTAGCTTTCAGATAGCTGCTCTGTCCATCAGGGCTAGTCGTTGTGGTCCACGTGGCAGTGTCTCTGAGGGTGAGTAAGCAAAGCTAACCCAGTCAGACTTCGATCTGTTTTCTGAGTGAGAAGAACAGGCTAAGACTGCCACGTTCTCCTGTGGGTGGCTCACCGTGGATGGCTCCTCCAGCCTCAGCTTCCAGGCACTGGGTCAGCTGGCCAGGTCAGCCACACTCCTACATCACAGTTCAGCTGGCAAACATCAGCTTCCCTGATTTTGTTTCGTTTAGAAACCAGTCCCACTGAGACTGAGTCCTTGGAACCCAAGGTGCCCCTGTGGCTTCCTGCTACGGGAACTCAGCGTTGTCTTGAACTGAGGCACACCTGAGCAAGAGGAAGAAGACACAATCACCAAGATAAGTGAGCATTCCTGGAGGATCCCAGGTGTGGCAGTGCCCGCCTATAATCCCTGCACCTGGGAAGAGGGGACAGGAGGGTGGGAGCTGGGAGCCAGCCTGTGCTGTGTAACACCCATTTCAAACGGAACAAAGACAGAGAACACAGGGAGCACTGCAGAGGAGACCGGCCTGGTTCATGGCAGGGCAGAGGCTGAAGCCTCTGGCTACTGACGGGAATGAGCCAAGCCTCTGTGCCTTTGGAGGGCAGGAAGGTTCCTTTGCATCTGCTTGGAGCACCATTTAGATGAAAAGATCTCAAACACACCTAAACTACAGCACTTAAATCTGAAGAGGATAAAGGAAACTCAGGGAGAGCCACACCCCAGAAATATGCTGAGTCTCAGGCATGGATCTTGCCAATGACAGCCTAACAAATGGAGCAGTGGTACAGGCATTTGGGAACCTTTCAGCATGTCAGCTACAGGAGGACAGAATGCTTCCACCCGCATGGAGGTGTTCCTGCTACATTGGTGCCCTGGACTTATCTGAGACAGGACAGTGAGGATACAGACTAATGGGTTAGTATCAGCCAGTGCTGACCACCAGCTGTACTGGGAGCCATAGGGAATGTGGCCATTGTGCTGGCTCATGAGTGTTGTGGGGCATTCCCTGGAGAAGACTGTTTAAGTCCATAGAAAGTCCTTTATCAGCGACAACACTGGGTGTTCGGGATCCCAGTGTAGCACTGAACCTTTCTCGGGGTGACTTTTTAAGCACAAAAACCATGTTCTGGGTTGACTTCAGTTAACAAGAACAGTTAGCCAGAAGCGGAACTACAGAAGCCAGAAAGCAAGGTAGAGACTTTCCCAGAACTGTGGACTTTGATGGACTAGGTCTTTGTTTTCATTTTGGCAAGTGATACTGTCTATGTGCCGAGTTTTATGGCCAGATTGGTATTTCCATCATGGAGTCAGTTGTACTAAGGTTTGGTGCCTGTTACAGTTTCAGTAGAACTTTATAAGGATTTATTCCAACTCCAATTCTAGAATCTCTGCAATAAAATGTTTGACAAGTATAAGAAACTAAAGGTAGCAATGGCAGGCGTTGTTTGCTTACCGAATCCACTGCCCAGGACGACCTGAGCATGTGGTACCACAGGGACAAGCTGAGCATGCGGTACAGGGCATCCTGTGACAGCTCATGTAGGACCAGCTTATCTAGGAGGATGCCTTTGCAACTACGGCTGCTGGGATGTGAGTCAGTAAGAGTAACTTCACGTACCTTTACGTGAGCACAGGCTTTAATGGCGGTGGACAGCACTATGTACATTAAACACTAAAACTACTCCTGGGAGGGAAGAGCTGGTCTTCAGCTATGTGATAACCTGTGGGTTTCGTGTTAATACAAATGAGTTGCCATGAGAGGAGGTGAACCAAGCAAGAAGTGATGGTGCAGGCCTGTGACTCCAGCACTAGGGAAACTGGCACAGGGGACTGCGAGTTCCAGGCCAGCTTGAGCTATGTGGTAAGAAGAGAAACCCCGTGGGGACGGAAGGGAGGGACCGAGAGGAAAGGTGGGGAGATGGGGAGGGGAAAGTAGGTAAGACTGTTTGACTTGAAGTGATAGGATTTTAAAACTACCATGTGTGCCTCAAAGAAAATCAATTCTCCTGAAAAAAGACGAACACATTTTGTCAATATGACTGCACCCGTTGAAGACGATGTTATGACTAGGTTCAGTTTTGGAAAACTTCAGTCTGGCTACACTTTGAAGACGTTCCATTTTAAGAAATTTAAATACAGATCAAATTTTGTCAATTAAAATTTAGTATCTGAACTGAAAGGAATCATGTATGTAAAATATATACCAGATCTTGAGGACTTGGTGCAAAAATAAGAAAACGTAATTCAATAATGGTTGCTGACAGAGCATAGGGGCATCTATCTTCTTGTAGTGTGGGTTTTCAGCTCCCTGGTCTGACCAGCACCAGACCAAAAAAAAAAGAGTTCCTTGTGTGTTTTAGATATGGATCCCTTATCAGACAGGTGATCTGCAAACATTTTTCTCCCATTCTGTAGTCTTGTTTTTCCCTTCCAGGACCAGGAAATCATAGAATTTTATGTCAGTGTTTCAACATCTGTAGTACATATTCTTTTCAATATTCACATTCTCCTGTGTGTGGCTACTGGGAGCCCCTAAAAGATGGCTTCCTGCTCTGTTGCTATCGGTAGAATTCTAGTCAGTATGCTGAGCAGACTGGAGGAACACCTGGCACTCTGGCAATCACAGACTCTGCTCTTTTTTAAAAAATATTTATTTATTTATTATGCATACAGTGTTCTGCCTGCATCCCTGTAGGCCAGAAGAGGGCACCAGATTACATTACAGGTGGTTATAAGCCATCATGCAGTTGCTAGGAATTGAACTCAGGACCTTTGGAAGAACAGCCAGTGCTCTTAACCTCTGAGCCATCTCTCCAGCCCCAGACTCTACTCTTGCTGACTGTGGCCAGGGAGCTCAGCTTCCTCATGGAAAGCTCTGTAAGCAGAAACGTGTCACTTTGCTGTTGATTAGCTTCTTGGAACTTGGTTGTCACCCTGCATGGAAACAGGGCCGTGTGCAAGAGAAGCAGACAGGCAGACCAGGACAGACAGTAAGAGAAGCCACAGCCCTGACCTTCCCAGGTTCAGAAATCAGCAGGGATACCATCCTTGGTGCTTGCCCTTTGACAGGAGAGCTAAGGTTTGCAGCATTAGAGGGCTGTGACCCAGCTTGTTAACCAGAGGAGGATATAGCAGGTAGAGTGGTTGAGGTTCCTTAAAGAAGGAGGAAGGGGCAGGGGAGTATTATGGAGTGTGCTGTGACAGCACCAAGACATTATTCCTTTTCTTTTTTTTGTTTGAGTCACAATCCACAGAAGGTACATGTTCCATCCTTGATTTTCTCATTGCCATGGATGTTATCCCTACAATGGTGGTGCACGCCTTTAATCCTAGCACTCGGGAGGCAGAGCCAGGCTGATCTCTGTAAGCTCAAGGCCAGCTACAAAGTGAGTTCCAGGACAGCCAGGGCTACACAGAGAAACCCTGTCTGGAAAAACAAAACAAACAAACAAACAAAGATTCAACCTACAGGGTGTGACATAATAGTTACTGTGTCTATATTATAGATTAGGAAAGTGAGGCCCTGTAGGATTTAATGACTTCCACTTGTGGACAACTCTGAGTATTCCAGGGCACCCCACTCAGAAAGCTCAACTGGCCCCTCCAACATGTGAGATGTTCTGAGTGGATGGGCTCTTGGGCTAAGGGGCTTTGGATGCAGGCTGCCTCAGAAAACTACACTAACAAACTCTCTGATGCAAACAGGCTTCACACTTACATGACCAAGAGCTCCCCTTTCCGCTCAGCTCCCGAGGACACAGGCTGTGTTTATGTGGGAACTAAGAGTGGTCCCTGTGGCTTGGATGACAGCCTAGCACTCTGCCATGATCCAGTCCTCCCAGCTTTCAGTGGGGAACTTCCAGTGTTTACTGACCCCTACATGAGTCCCTCACTTCCACAGTGACCGGACTGGGGCTGTTTCTGAGTCCCTTATCTCTCTGCCACTTATTCATTAGGGAACCTCAAAGCTGCTGGCCTGTGAGACCCGTCTTTTGTGACTTCCCTGTCTGTGGGTGAGAACCAGAACCCGGGACGAAGATGAAGAGGGAAGGCAAGTGCTTGTGTGGGACAGTTCATCAGGCACAAACCCAGCAACTCACCGCCCCCTCTTTAAGTGGCTTCATTCTCCAGTCTGGGGCCCTTGACCCTCTGCTCCTTGAGTCCTAACAGGCTGAGCAGAGGGTCAGTGACAGAGACAGAACTGAAGAAAGCAGAAACAACACAAAGGACGCCAGTCGTTACACAGTTATTTTCCTTTTGAGACATGAAGACAGACGTAGAGAAAAGAGCAGCGCAGGAGTCTGGGAAACTGCCTCTTTACATTACCTCAGGACTCAGCTGAGAGCTGGGTCTGAGATGCTCACATCAGTTGACATGGGTGATAGGATTTTATTTACAGTTTGGGCCAAAACTGGGTACAGAAGCTCTCTGCCTGCACATTGCCACAGTAATGTAGTTACTTATACTAGAGATGAAGCAAAAGTCATGTATAGATGAACTGGGGGTCCCAGTTACCAGCCTGGGAGAGATTTCTTCTGGTAGATAACTTTTCTCCTGCACCAGGGTTCCAGGGTGGCTATTTTCACATCTAGCAAGCTATTCCTGAAGCATCTAAATTCCAATTCTCGGCTATAGTACCAACAACACTGCCAGGCAGACAGTAGATTTTCACCATCCTCAGCTCCACATGATGCTTGGATAAGAGCTGAGCTGGAGAGTGAAGGGTTTTAGCTCAGACTTGGAACCCCTCAGCCTCACCCCTCTTTCCCATTGATTGACAGGACAGAAAATGCACAAGGTGTGGTTGCTCAGGCCTGTAATCCCAGCACTGCTATATAAGCAGGATTGTGAGTGAGTCTCTAGTTGGCTGTTCAGTAAGAACCCGCCTCAAACATCAAAAACTGAAAATAAAAAGGTGAAGAGGAAGGAGAACAGAGGTACACTTGCTTCAGAGCAGCCTGGTCAAAGGGTGGGAATACATAGCAACACCATGAGGGAATTAGCGAGACCGTGATGAATATGCTGTGTAGACAAAGGAAAACCCATAGCATGGGCCTGCAGGTAAGCCATAAGAGATGTTTGGGACAGGGTTCTGCTGTATAGACCAAGCTGGGTTGGAACTCCCTATGTAACTCAAAACTGACCTCAAACTCGCAATCTTTCAGTGTCTGCTTCCTATGTGCTGTATTAACAGGCCTCTGGCACTGAGCCTGGCAAGCTATTTTTATTTTTTTTTCAGTTCAACATTCTTTTTATGTGTGCTGGAGATCAAAGCCAGAGCCCACATGCTAGGTGTTATGGTTTGAATGTGAAATGTCCAAATGTCTCCTACAGGATCATGAGTTTGAAGCCTGATCTCCAGGGCTGGTGATGATGTGTTGGGGCATTTACAAAACATCCAGGTGTCAGGGCCTGGGTGCCACAGATGAGCATCTCTGCTTGGAGGCCTTTGACTTACAGCCTGGTCCTGGTTCCAGTCCACAGCCATGTGAGGAGCTTCTGCTACATGCCTCCCCTGCTATGGACACTCTGTGCCAAAATCATGAGCCAAAATGTGAGGTATTTTGCCATAGCAATGACAGAAGTAATACACTAGGCACCAAGCTGTAGCTTGTGTACCATAAAAACTGTAGTTCATGCTGCACTGGCCAGCCCAAAGCTCACCATATAAACCAGATTGACCTCAATTTTATAGAGTTCTGATTCTGCCTTCTCAGTGCTGGGATGCACCAAGACACTTGTTCTCAGGGTCCAAAATAAAGAACTGATGAGTATTTGAGTGACAGATATGCCAGTGATCCTGATCTGACCATTAAACATTGGATACATATATGGAGATGCTGAGGTTGGGATGTAGCTCAGTGACAGTATGTATTTAGAGCATCCGTGGGCTCAGGAGGTGGACTGCCTTCTGACGTTTCAAACTCAACCTGCACACTGGGCTCAAAGTAGCCAGCGATGGGTTCATTAGTCTTTGTACCTTCCACACACTGTCCAAACATGCAAGAGCATATGGAGTTGGCCTTCTAAACTTCCAGAAAATTATCAGCAGTGTGCCTGCCTGCTGTCACATTCTCTTAGGCTTTAGACTGAACTGCCCAAATCCTACTTCAGGCAGATGTATGTTAACACAAGGGAAATTCTTTCTTCATCAGTGGAAAGTGTGGCTTTTGGAATCCAGGAAAGCTGGGTTCACGTTCCAGTCAAGATCTTTAATAGAGTGGGACTTCCTGATTCTATTCCTATATTTCAACATTCCATGTCACTGTGTTCCATGGGTGTGAGCTAATGGAAAGCTCCAAGGTCCAGAAGCCCTGAGTAAGAAACATGTCCTGATATTGTTTCAGAGGCAGCAATGGGACAGTAGTACAAAGGCCTCTGTAGTGTTTCTTCAAACTCTCTACTGGGCAGGAGCTAGATGCTCTGTGGCCCATACCATCTCCAGTGTGGCTCTCTGTAGTGAGCTACTGTAGGTGGACTTTCAGCCTGTGCCCAAATAACCACACAGAGACTTAATTATAAATGCTTGGCCTATAGCTTATGCTTGTTACTAAATAGCTCTTACAACTTAAATTGACCCATATTTCTTATCTACCCTCTGCCACATGGTGGTACCTTCTTTCAGCAAGGCATGTTCTCCTGCGTCTCATCAGACTCCTGTGACTTCACCCTTCTTCCTCCCAGCATTCTCTCTGCCCTGTGCCTGTTCCATATCAGCCAGAGCTACACAGTAAAAAATGAAATTGCTTTTTCTCCATCTCATGTCCCATTAGTTACACTTAGGGACAGCCACCGACAATGTTGTTCCAGTATCTTTGCACACACATCCCTATGCACAAATGAGTAGCATACTTTACACAGTATTCCCTATCCTTTTTTTCTTGCAAATATTATAATTATTTAACATCAGAACATAAACAACTGTTTTTTTCTTTTCTTTTTTTCTTACTATGGATTTCACTATGTAGCCTTGGCTAGTCACTATATAGACCAGGCTGGCCTCAGAACTCACAGAGATCCATCTCTGCCTCCCGAATGCTAGGACTAAAGGTGTGAACCACCAGGTCTGGCTTATGACTGTTTAGTTATTTGAGACAGGGTGTTCTGTGGCCCAGGCCAGCTTTGAACTCCTGAAACTCCTTTCTCCACCTCTCACCTGCTGGAATTAGTTATGTGCCACCACACATGCCAGAACTTACCCTGAATATTATATAATCTGCTAAAGACGTGTATTGTGATATGTTTAACCCTCCTCGAGGATTGCTTTCATACTAAAACAAGATGCACAAACTAGCCTGTTAAAGGTCAGCTCTAGAAAGGAACTTTCTGGGTCAAAAGGCATGCCCACTGTTAATACGAATATATTCCCTTGAGTGCTTGGTTTATCTTCCTATATCCATTTCTGCCAGTGCGTTCCAAAGCCCGTGTTCCCCAGAAAGCATTCTAAATGACTCAATTTCGGTTGCTTTGGGGTGTAATCCCCAAATTGTGTTTTTGTTTTTTGTTTTTCTTTCTTCCTCCTCCTTTTTTTTTTTTTTTTTTTTTTTTGAGACAGGTATTGGTGAAATTATTAAGGCAACTCCACGCAGTTAAAAGGGAGGACTTCCAGCCGGGTGGTGGTGCACGCCTTTAATCCCAGCACTCGGGAGGCAGAGGCAGGCGGATCTTTGTGAGTTTGAGGCCAGCCTGGTTTACAGAGCGAGATCCAGGAAAGGCGCAAAGCTACACAGAGAAACCCTGTCTGGAAAAACCGGGGGGGGGGGGGGGGGGGGGGGGGAAGAGGATTTCCCTGAGTAGCCCCGGCTGTCCTGGAGCTAGCTCTGTAGACCAGGCTGGCTCAAACTCAGCCTCTTGCCTCTGCCTCCTGAGCGGTAGGATCAAAGGCATGTGCCACCACACCCAGCTTCATGTTGTACTTTTTGTAAAGTAGAGTCTCCTCTATTCTCAGAAGGTTGTTAGGATAAACTGACAAAAGTTAAATCTCAGAAAGGGCGCACACATTTACTATATGCAGAAGGGGTAAGTCATAGAAGTGAGATTACTATTTGCTTAACAGCATTCATCGAAATTCCCCGCCCTGAGGACTCAGGCAGTGGTGACCTTGAACTTCTGATCATACTGCCTCCACCTCCCAAATTCACCATCCCGCCTGGTTTGTGCCTTACTGGAGATGGAACCCAGTCAGGGTTTCCCACGCATGCCAGGCAAGAATGCTACCTACGGTGTAATAGTCCCAGCCCCTATAGAGAGGAAGAGACTGGCACTTGAATCAGGGGACAGGCATTAACTAGCTCGTATGGGAGGTCCACTCAGGTGTGGCTGGGAGCGGCCCTGTCTCCTGAGACCATGAGATTTTAGGGTGAGGATCGAAGGCAGCTGAGTTCTTTGTGCTATCCGGTTTAAAGCGGAGGAGATCGGGGCGCCGTTCCTTTGTTTAGGGGAGGTGGTAGTGACAGGAGCAAACGTACCCAGGCCTTTTCATTTCCGTCAGCTCAACTCGCTCTGCACTCCTGCACCCGCCACGTCCGGGGGCGCGGCTCTGAGCCTCGACACCGGCTCGGGCGGGTGTCCCAGCTAACGCTCCTCCAGCGTGCACACGGAGGGGACTTACGTAACCTTCACTTTCCACACGTGGGCAGCAGCCACACACTTCTGGAGACTGAGGCTTCCTGCTATTTTTAACTGCCTTCCTGCTCGGCTCCCGGTGACTCCATCCCGAGCCGGTTGCCGCCGGCTTGCAGGATCTCACTGCCTCTCTGCCGTCGCCGGCGGGGCCAAGGGACGGGAGCAGGACGACGGGAGCCCGACCTACCCGCCGTGTCCCCCCCAAGGCCCACGCAGGCCCGGGGACAGAGACGTGTCACCCTTACAGTCCCTAGCAACCGTCAGCCTGCGCTCGCCGCCGGGGTGGGGGGGGGGTGGGGCCCTTTTACGACCGAGCCGCGGGCGCGCGCCGCCCGGAGGGCAGGCGGGAGGTGTGTCGGCCGCGCCAGCCAATCCCGGCCGCGCGCTCCAGCCTGGCGCGCCCTCATTGGCGGGGCGCCGGGCGGCCGTAAGGCGTATCCGGGTGTCGTGAGGCGGGCGCAGGGTGAGAAGGCCGAGGGCCGCTGCCCGGTCGACGCTGGTGTCATCTGTCCCGAGAGCGGCTGCACCGCGAACCAACCGCACGGCCATGGCTGGGACGCTGGTGCGCAAAGCGGCGGACTATGTCCGGAGCAAGGATTTCCGGGACTATCTCATGAGGTGAGCGTCGGGGAAGGGCCGTGGGGAGCCGCCCCGCCACGGGACAACCCTGTGTGGCGCGGTGCCAAGGTGGGAGAGCCGCGCGCGGGCAAGCGGACCGTGCTCCCACCCGTGACCGAAGGGACGCCGGGGGACGGAAGGGACGCTGCTCCCTCCCCTGTGCAAGGGGGCGGCTGCAGGTGACCGAGGGGACGCTGCTCCCACCCGTGACCAAGGGGGCGGCTGCAGGTGACCGAGGGGACGCTGCTCCCACCCGTGACCACGGGGGCGGCTGCAGGTGACCGAGGGGACGCTGCTCCCACCCGTGACCACGGGGGCGGCTGCAGGTGACCGAGGGGGACGGTGCTCCACCCGTGACCACGGGGGCGGCTGCAGGTGACCGAGGAGACGCTGCTCCCACCCGTGATCAAGGGGACTGCAGGTGACCGAGGGGACGCTGCTCCCACCCGTGACCAAGGGGGCGGCTGCAGGTGACCGAGGGGAACGGTGCTCCCACCCGTGATCAAGGGGACTGCAGGTGACCGAGGGGACGGCGCTCCCGGGCAGGGCGACCTAGGGAATGGCAGGTGACAGGGAACGGAAGGTGACTGGAGGGACACCACTCCCTCTCGTGACCGTGACTGGGCGAGCGGGCAGGCAGTCGAGGTGCCCTTGCGTGGGTTGACGCGGGGACACTGGGTGACAGCCACCACCTCCCTCCTCGTGTCCCCATCGTCACGGGCCTGGGACTTGGCGGGAGCGGTGTTGGAATGTTCCCGGACGCGCGGAGATGGGTCCTGGGAGCTAGAGTTTGCCGCTGCGTCGAGATCGTTTTTTCTTTTGTCATCTTTAAGGTACAGGACATGCAGGGAGGGTGGGGCAGGACCGACCAATGTCTGTCAGCTGCAGCCAAGCAGTCCGAGACTGGGCTTTTCCCTACAGCGGTGTGTCTGGGGGGCTTGACCTTGAGAGATCGAAGAGGCACTTTCTAGAATTCATTTTCACTTAAAGTCTTCTGCTGACCGCTTCTATGTATAAGTATTTCATAAAACTTAGAAACAGTTTTAAAATGTTTCCAAGCATAATTTTATTTTCTTGTGATTTTTAAAACCTAGGTAAGTGGAAGTCTGCTTTTTAGCTTTTCTTTTTAATAGTTAATAGTGTACTAAAGAGGTAAAGTGTTGAATGCAAACTTAATTTTAGCTTTTTCTCCCCTAGGAAAAAAATACTTTTCTTTCTAGAACTTACCATGGTGATATATATTCTCAGTTATTTCTTCTAGATGCCACCCACTCAACAACTTGGCTTTACTTTAGGAAGGGAGAATAAATCATACATAGAAAAATCTAATTATGGCTCTGTACATATAAGGTTCTAGTCCTTTGTGTTTTATTAATGACTTATACATGCTTTATTTACATCCGTTGCCAACTAAAGATCTGCATGAGTTTACAGCCTGCTGACTATTCAGATTTTCTGAACTGAAGTCCTTCTAGAATTAGAAAAACAATGTTTTTCTTTTTTCTTTTTTTTGGTTTTTTCGAGACAGGGTTTCTCTGTGTAGCTTTGTGCCTGTCCTGGAACTCACTTGGTAGCCCAGGCTGGCCTCGAACTCAAAGAGATCTGCCTGGCTCTGCCTCCCGAGTGCTGGGATTAAAGGCGTGCGCCACCACCGCCCGGCCTGTTTTTCTTTTTTTGAGACAGGGTCTCATTTAATGCAGACTGGCCTCCCAGCTCCCTATATAGCTGAGGATAATCTTGAATTTGTGATCCTTTTGCCTCTGCCTCCTGAGTGCTGGAATGGCAGGCATGTGCCACCACACCTGGTTTATGTGGTACTGGGTGTGAAGCCCAGGGCTTCTTGGATTGGTGCTAGGCAAGCTGGTCCTGCTGCCTCCTAGCTTTGTGACGATTAGTTTTATGCTTTAGTAGCTGCAATGCTTGACAAACATACCATGATTTTTTATTGTGATATTATATGTTTGATACCTTGGATGTCTCTAACTCTCCTTACTCACCTTGATAAGGATGTCTTTTCCTTGGAGAGGAGGTTCTCTTTTCCTGGGACTAGCCTTCAATGCCTAGACTCAATTGAGCGCCTCCAACCTCCAGAGTAACCACGTTGCCAGACTTGGTTTTCCATAAGAATTGCAGATCAAGAACTTTCTAGATTTCTAGTTCAGTATTTTCTTAATAGTTCTCTCTTTTTTTTCTTTTTCTTTCTTTTTGAATATTGAGGCCCAAAGTCGGGACTTGTGCCTTTTGTAAGCCCGACAAGGTGTACTACTAAGTTATACCCCAGCCCTCCAATTTCTTTTTCTAATTTATGTGTTTGATACGTGCCTGAGTATATGTACCTATGGAGGTGAGAAGAGGCATCAGATCCCCTGGACTAGCTTTACAGACAGTTATGAGCCGCCACGTTGGTGCTGGCAATGGAACCCAGGTCTTTTGTAAGAGCAGTTGCACTCTTAACTGCTGAGTCACCTCTCCAACCCCAGTTTTATTTTTATTTTTAGTTGTTTTGTTTTTGAAACAGGGTCTCTACATATCTCTGGCTGTCCTGGAATTCAGATGTAGACTAGGCCCAGATTTATCTGCCTCTGCTTCCTGAATGTTGGGATTAAAGGCGTGTGCCACCACCACACCTGGCTGCAAAGTTTTTTTTCTTAAGAAACTATTTCCTTATGTACCTTACTGACAGGATAAAACAAAATAGCCCTTTTTTCTCTCTCTCATTCCTCTTAGATTTTTGATTAAATTAGAATGAGCAGTCAGGTAAGACTTGTATTTTAAGGACTGAGGAAATCAGCACTTGTACAGATTTATTTTAGAGGTTTATTTTCAAGTTTATATATAGGAGCAGAGGTGACTGTGTACACACACACACACACACACACACACACACACACACACACACACAGAGAGAGAGAGAGAGAGAGAGAGAGAGAGAGAGAGAGAGAGAGAGAGAGAGAGAGAGAGCCATTCAGCATGCTTACAACTCTGGGATTAGTGAGATGTTGGCAGTGAATATTCTCAAGTTAATAAGGTGTTCTATTCTAAGTTGACTTTAACTTCTGCATTCCCAGGAAAGCTTTAAGAGTTTATATTGTCTACCTAAATGAAAAAAAAATGAAAAGTTTTAGTGGAAATAAAGGGAATGCTTCCGACATGGAATATTAGAGTGGAAATAACCGAGCATTTCACCTGCAACTTGAGAAAACTGACGTTTAGACCAAGCAGAAAACTTGAGGTCCTCTGAATGCTCAACTTGTGAAGCCAAAAGAAAATTGTCAGCTTAAGACTTCAGGAAGAGTGATGCATGGAAATGGCTTCGGAAGAGAGCAGGTTGTTTTGGGGGAGGTGGGGGTAGAGGTTGAGGCAAGCTCACCTCATGTGACCATGGCTGGGCCTGGAACTCTGTAGACCTGGGAGAACTTGAACCAACAGAGACCTGCCTGCCTCTGCCTCCTATGTGCTGGGAGTAAAGGTGTGCACCTCCACACCCAGCCTGGTACCTTCTGCCCCTGACACCTTCTCTCTGCAACACTATTTCTCACATTCTGCCTTTGGACTCTCTCAGCACTTCTTGTTCTGTTATTGACCTTCAGAATTAATGAAGATGAAAATGTTGAGACCTAGCTATGAGTCTCTTGATAACTGGAAAGTCCAGTTTATCCAGTTTACAGGGGTCTTTACTATCATTTAACACAGGTTCTAATTGTTACATAACAACTAAAATAATAGATAAAGTTTTGTGAAAATAATTGAAATATAGGTGAGCATTTTTAGCAAAATACAGAATTATAATCCAGACAACCTTAAAATCTCATCCCATGTGATCAGGATGTAAAATAAATGAAAAAATTTAAATGAGTTTATAGTAAACTATGTTCCTTAAATTGCTCTCAGTGTTTTCAAAGAAATATAGCAAAACCTATCAGTCCCAAAGAGACTGAAGTCAGCAGACTCATCAGATGCTGGAAAATAAAAATGAGCATAGGAAAGAACTCTGAGCCAGCCAGTCACTACTCAGAATAAGGGAAAACCAAAGATAAGCACATCCCATGGTAGTTGTCTTTATCATTCTATGTCATCAAACTTGTAATTGAGTAATAGAAGCAGCACTTGATTAAATTCATAGTGCTTACTGTGTTTCTCAGTATAGAATGAACAGTATAATAGGCAGTTGTTGACCCCACAAGAAATAGATATATATTATATATTGTGTATATATGTATGTATATCAAATAATGAGAAGCTTAACTCTCACTAAGATCAGAACCAAGACAAAGATGCCCCTAGTACTATTTTTTAACATCAAATAAGTTCTGACTAATGCGGTTATGAAAAAAAAGATAGATGTCATAATGGGAAGAAAGCAACAAAACTTAAAGATGATATAATTTTCTATGTAGACAATCCCAAAGGACCAAAACTTTATGGAACTAACAAGTGATTATAGCAAGGATTAGGGTACGATGTTAATATATAAAAGTCTGTTGCTTTCCTATTCACTTTCAACTAATAAATGCAATTTGAAATTAAAATACAATGTCATTTACATTATCACATTCAAATGCTGGAGTCTTATTTTGTTTTGGGTGCTGGGGATTGAATCCAGGGCCTTGTGCATGTTAAACACACATTCCATCACTAAGCTACATCCCTATCCCTAAATGAAATAGATGTAGATACAAAAAAATCTAGCAAAATTATATGTAAGAG